GCCGCGATCACCGGTGCCCCGAGAGAGGGGCGGCCGTGCCCGGGCCGGGTCCCCGTGCCGCTCTGCGAGGGGAGGGGCGGCGCGGCGCGGCTGCGAAGCTTCTCGGGACGCGGTGCGGCCTGAGGCAGCTGCGGCCCTCGGCTCCTTGGAGCGGCTCTGGGCCTGCGGGGCGGGCTGTGCCTCCACCCGCCAGCCTGGTTGCCCCGAGTCGAGGTTGAAGAGCTTTCACGTTACGCGGAGGACCTGCAGGCCTCGCTTGCAATGCAGCTGCTGTGAACGAAGCTTCAGCTTCTATAGGCTTGCGTCGAGAACGAAGGAACGTTTTCCTGTTGGGATAATTGTGGCTGCAAAACAGCGGCTGTAGGGCTCAGTTACGATGAAGTGGAGAATGTTTATATCTAGAGTGCATGTTGTTTTTTTTATTTAATGAAGTAGAATCTAGCACTAATGCAGCATTAATATAGATTACTTTTAGCGTCCTATCATGCTTGTCAACGCTGCAAAAGAATTTATTATGCAGTAGCAAAGTAACATGAGGAAGACACGATTAGAATTTAAGTCAGACTTTGATAGATAGCAGACAGAGCTAGAGAACATCAGCGATTTGTAAACAAGCTTGATATTATTTTTACTGCGGTAGTTACTACAGCCAAGCTATCAAGAGGTTTCAGTTATTAGATAAAATTATATTATAAGTTTGAAAACATGTATTTGAGAGGCATACTGAATCTGCAGATTGGAAATACGTGTTTCAAATCATTTAAAAATACAGTGTTTGACGCCATTACTTAAAGGGCTTTATAATAATGGGTTTGCTTATCTTTTATTATGATGGGCTCTGAAAGCATTCATCCTGGATTACTACAAAGCTGAAAGTAATTACATGATTGGGAAAATTGTGTGTCTTCTAACAAATGGCATATAAGCTGTTGAATAGCTACACAAATAGCAGAGCTTGTGCATTTTCATCAGCTGGTTCTAGACTGGTTTAAATTCTGTCTCATTTTGTTTCTTCTGTCAAGTTTCTTCAGTTGGTCCTTAAAATAGCAAATATATATATATTTTAATTTTTTTTTACATAAAAGAAAGGCTTTTTATACTATTTTTGCAGTGATATTCTGTGCATAAGTATGTGAGTATCTTATTATCAAGGCTTTATGTTACATTGCTAGGTAAGAAAGCTTGAAAAGATTCTTATTCTCTTGTTTCTAAGCACTCAAAATCCTTACTGCATTATCACTGAAGTTATTAAACTTTAAGTCACTGTGCTACCCAATACATTTTTGCTTCTCCCTATGTTTTACAGTACTTTATTGACTCTAAGTAAGGTTTTTTTATTAAATTTTAAAGGAAATCTGAAGATTCCAAATATTCTGAAGCCTAAGGTTTCTTAACTTGCATGGGATATAGATAATATGCTTATTGTTAATTTTGTAGCTCTTCAAGCATGGAAACTTTTGAAAAAAATCTGGGTTGTTTTTTTTTTTGTTTTTTTTTTTAATGGGCTTTGTTTTCAATATTGCCTCATGAAGACTGATTACCTGGTCAGCATAACTTTGACAGCACTCACTTTCTATTTATTCTGATTGGTCCTAAGATTTTACTTATGCGCTGAGTCTGTCTTTCAAATGTTTACAAATAGCTGTCAAGGTCTAATTTGAATTTTATGTCCAGCAGGCTCGCAGATGGGTCAGGGACTCTGGAGAATTGCTAGAAACCAGCAATTGCAACAGCAAGGATACAGTGGACAAGGCTATCTTACCAGGGACCATGGTAGGAGGATACCTGCTAACAATGTTTCTAATACAAGCCATCGCAAACAAGCCCAAGGCGGCATTGACATCTACCACCTGCTGAAGACAAGAAAATCTAAAGAACAAGAAGGATTCATTAACCTGGAAATGTTGCCACCAGAGCTTAGTTTTACCATTTTGTCATACCTGAATGCAACTGATCTCTGTCTAGCATCATGTGTCTGGCAGGATCTTGCTAATGATGAGCTCCTCTGGCAAGGGTAAGCATGAAAAAAAGAAGTTTCACTGGACATAGTAAAAAGTATTAGATTTTAAATTTGTCTCAGTAAGTGCTTTTTGTCTTTCTAACCTTAGCAAAGGTTTCCTAAGTTAAATGAGATTGATATAGAGGATACATATATCATTTAAAAAAGTGTTATTCTGGATTTCTAATTAGAATGGGAGATGACTGGAGATCACTACATACACAAGTGTGCTTGGCATTATTTGGTAGGATATTATCATACACCTGCTGTTTGAGATAGCATGGGGTAAAAACTGGGGCTTGTCTTCACTTTTTGTATTAGTTCAAAGTACATCTCAGGTGTTTGTATCATTACTTCTGTGAAGTTCAAACAGTTGTCTAGCTTAAGCAAGCAAACCTATTCAGCCAAATTTCCAAATGGAGAGATGATAATTCATCTACTACACTTGGTAGCAACTTAGGTGTATCTTTTTTGGAAGATGGTTATGGAGGGAGGAAAGAAAAGGTCATTTTTATCAAGTGAAATTTCTTCAGCCTAACACTTAAAACATGTTTATGTATAACATATGCACAATTTGTATGTCTGGGAAATAAATAAAGGAACACTCTTTCAGACAAAATAGTGTAATCAATGTAAATAACATACTCTTTGGTATTTTTGTTTTACAGCACTAGGAAAGACTCATGAAATCATACTTATCTCTAGAGTAGATGGTCAGCAGAACTTCTTTCACAACGTTCTCTTCTCCTTTAAAAGGCAGTATTACTAGTGTAACAGTTGGGTTGCTGATCAGGTTGTTTATTTTCCTTTCATAATGCTCTACAACTCTTCTTCTCCTCATCTACTTCCTTGCCCTGCTGCATTTGAATTAAGCAGCTTCCCTTCCTATCATGCTTTTGAACCTAGCAAAAGGATAATGCAGCATACTTCTTAGTTACAATTGTTCTGCAGCTGGGGACTGTTATATTGACAGGAAACGAATTCTAGTGAAGGATACCAGTAAGCTTCTAAGTGTATCAATATGCATTGTACTGTGCTTGGTTCTTGGTGTCAAACCCACGATAAATACAAATAAATTCCCTAGACCAAAGCTGGAAGATATTAGAGATTCTTAATTGCATGCAGTATATATTCTTAGCATGTGGGGTGGGAATGCGTATTTTCCTTGAAGTTCATTCTGGAAAACCGTTCAGTCATTTTTTGTGAAATCTTTCCAAATAATACTCACATTCATAACCACATTTCTTTTGGTAATGAAAATGTGTCCTGATTTATAAATAAATATCTTTATTCTGTGATAAATAAAAATCTCAGTTTGCATAATCTTTGTAAAAATCTTCGCTATTCCACACATATAAGGGTGTGTTTAAGTTTTGGCAAGTACTGTTGTTGCAGTTCCAGACTCAGTCCAAATAAGACCCAGGTTCCAGAATAAAAAACAGAATCTTTGCCATGTCTCCAGTGACTACTGGCTGGGTCCTAAACATTGTTCCTAATTAGTAACAGAGCAGGTGTGTTGAAGCAGAACTACCAGTTCAATAAGGAATCTATAGTCTGTAGAAAGGGAATTGCAGATGGTAACATTAAAGGAACTGAGATGAGGGACAGAAACTGATGAAACTGAGATACGGAGTCAGGATGGAATAAAAGAGAAAGAAGCTATAAAGTTATATTAGAGAAGGATTGGACTGGATCTAGTCATTAGGACTGGTCAAGAGGACTGTCCAGTTAGGACAAGAGGAAGAAGAGTTGGGTGAAGAAGGGCAGATGGGGAAAGTGCTGAATTAATGGCATAATTTTGTGAAGATATGGTGTCCAATTCACTGCATAACTGGGGCACAAGAAAAGAAACAAAATGTTTTAATCCATCATAGTACCACAGGAGAACAACTTGTCTCCCATGTCGAGGTTCTAGGAGTGCCAGAGGTCTCTGCTATGTGGTTGTTATGATACCACCTACTGGGATATGTTTTGAGGTTGCACTCAAATACACCAAAAACCTCTATGAGAAGAAAACATTATTCATATAATTGAAGGTTTTAGGAAAAAAGTGGCAAATATTTAATAACTGTTACAGCAACCTACTTCTAACTTTTTCTATAGTTTGAGTATTTAGCTTTGCAGTATTGATTACATTTTGCTTCTGTAAAATACATGAAATTCAGAAAGGAATTTTCATAATAGATTAATTCTATTTTCATAGGTTGTGCAAATCCACTTGGGGTCACTGTTCTATATACAATAAGAATCCGCCTCTAGGATTTTCTTTTAGAAAATTGTATATGCAGCTAGATGAGGGCAGTCTCACCTTTAATGCCAACCCTGATGAGGTAAGTGAACTGTTGCTGACAGTAATAAACAGTTACAATAATTGTAATTGGTTTTTTATAATTATAGCCAATAAAAACAAAGTTTTAATAGGTGTTTGTTTTACCGTAGGGATGGTTAATACTGAGCTACAGCCATACTCTGGTCTTTTTGGATATTTTACCTGTGTACATCATTTACATGACTTGCCTGTTAAGTGCTCTGTACACTTCTGTGGATGCCAGGAATTCATAACATTAAGAACAAGGCCTAAGATATCCTAACTGAAGAGACAGTGGTGAACTGTAAGAGCATAAAATTGAGCTTACATAAATAAAAATGTTAAAATGCAAAGTATGAGTTTGGTTCCACTTTAGGCAAAACAGGATGAGGTATAAAGTCTGATCACTTCTATGACAAACACATTTTCTTGTAGGGGATTTTTACCTAGTTCTACTATGAAGGGGCAAATCTTGAAATATGAAAAAGATCCACTGCTGAACAATCCTGAAGATGTTTGATTTAATTTCTGTGGGTGTTTGTTGTGCATAATTTTTCTTTATAGAACAACAAATTTATCTTAAAAAAAAATATTTCTTGTCAAACTGAAAGGTTTCCATCTATAAGTTCATGTAACTGGAAAAGTCAGTTTCTGCTTTCAGTCTGTCACGTTTCAAAGAAAAAAACAGTTTGAGAGTAGACAGCTTTTGCCTGGGAGATAGACAGTTAATGCCCAAGTGACAGAGAAAGTCTTTTGTGTATAAAACCAGGCTCCTGCTTCATGTTTCCTAGGAAAAGAGTGTACACAGTACCGAACAAAAATGCTGTTAACTTCCTGCATATAGTTACACATACACATGGAAGTGGTAATTGAATAAATCCAAAGTAGAAAAAGGATTGAGATATGAAACAAAACACTTCTAGAAGCAAATTTCACTCTGCTGATATGATACAGAAAGTGTGAACTTGTGTTTTTACCATGGGGTAAAATAAATAAAGCAGTTCTATGAATCACTACAATAAAGTGATTTTGTTTAAGTTCTTGCTTTAGCTCATATTCTGCTTGATTAAGAGACCATTACTTTTATCAGTCACGAACAGATTATTTTGTAATTTGTCTGTGAAAACTCTGCCTTGAACTCTGATACACTGCATGAAGCCATCAGCACCTGGCCATTTGAGTGACTAATATTGTTTTTCTGCAGAATTTTCATAAATGTAGTAATAAATGTAAAAGTTTTTAAATGAGATGCAATATTTAGGTAACTTATATGTTTTCAGTATTAAGTATATTGCTAGCAGTATTGTCTGTCCAATTTTTTCTTTGTATTTGAATTTGTTTTAACATAATTTTTCACTTAACTATCTCAGTTTTTAATGTGCCATTATATTCCAACCTTATTTAAAGTAATCTTGGTATGTTTAAAGGATTTGGAGATTTCAGAAAAGGCACTTAATAGAAGATTCATTATTTTTAAAGGAAATTAAGATCTGCAAATTAGAGCTAATTTACAGCATACTTAAATTAGGTACTAACTTTATTATGCTACTCTTTCTTCTTCATTATGGTTATATTTTACAATAGAAACACTGCTTCAATGAGAGATGAGAACCTCAGGGTATCTCCTAAGGGCTCTGTTCCTCTCTCCCTGTGGAGCGCCATAGCCTGGTAGGAATCATTCAGGGCCTGAGTTTCAGGAGAATTCACAAATACTCTTGCTTTTACTGTTTACAACTGTGATATTGGCAGAGTAATTATTATAAGGACACTGTGACTGAAACATATGATATGACATTCCACTATTACAAATTGCATCTCCGAATTTTCTGCCAAACTCTGCTTTACATTTGATAACAGACCTGATCAAATTACTATAAAAATAGGAATACTTACAGCCACAGGAGCAAGATTCTCCAAAGGACACCGCCCATGTCATGAAAATGGGTAACCAGGCTCCACAGCAACAGCTCCAGAGCTAGCGGTGGCTCACGGGGTAGGGAAGAGCATCTACACACTTTGTGGTAGGATTCTCTGGTTAGCCATTGTTGTGTGCATGGTGTTGTGATATCTGCTGTAATTTAACGTGTTGATTGTATGCATGAGCTTGCATAATTCATAGCAGGTGCTCACATTCTGCTAAAAGGATGTGCCTAAACACATGACATGGAATTTGAAAAAAAAAAACCTCCAGTGCATGTTTGGGTTGAATTTTTTGGTTTGGTTTTTTTTTTCTTTTATTTATTTTTTTCTTTTCCTTTTCTATTTTTTTTTTTAATTTGATTGGTTGGTTTTGTTGGGTTTTTTTCGTATGGCACTACCATTTTAGCCAAGATTTTGGAACCTGGTTTTTCTTGTCTCTTTAGAGAGAGGGATGCTTTATTGTTAGCATTAGCACTTGAATATAAATATCATGTTGTTTAATCTGCCTACCTGGTTTCTGCTGTATTTTATTTTAAAGAGTGTATGGTATATATGAAATGTTTCTCATGCAGCACGCGTTTCATCTCGTGTGCTTATGACTCAGAATTTGTAGGCAACCAGAAGTATTTCCCATTGTTTTGTATCCAGTTTCTAACTTTCTACAAAATATTTTTTCAAGTTTATTACCTGGATCAATGCTATGTAGCTAAAATTGAAACTGAAGGTACAGACAAGAATCTTTTGGTCAGGAAAGAAGATCTGGGTTTTTTTGTTTCATCCTTACTGGTTCTAAGTGATCTATTTAATAGTATTTATTTTTATGGACCTTCTGGAATCTGTAGTGTACCAAAACTGTCTTCAATGAAGTCAGGATTTCCTTTACATAGCATAATAATTAAGTACAGTAAGACAGTCCTTATACTGAGCCTGTCTTTTCGGTCTTCTGATTGTTTCATTCTACAAGCTGCCCTTAGTTTTTGATAGGGAGGCCAACTTTTTCTGACCTTTTCCTGATAATAAATTGTTAGCCACTTGTATAAAGCTACCCTACCTGACTTTATTTAATTATAGACAGTCTGTAGATGATGGAAAGCTTACTGTGCTGTATTTCTAAGCAAAGTTTTTTGAACCTTATCCCATTTCATAGTGATCTACTAAGCACACTGATTTTGAGATGCATTGATTGATCAGTCTGAAGAATATTGTGTGTATGTTGTAGAGGAAATTCTTTTGTGTGATTCATCAAAAAGTTGGAAAGGAACATTGAGCTGAAACCTTTTGATAATTTTGCATTAAAACCAGAGTGGTTTAATCTTGTAAATTATTCATTATGGATTCTATGCAAAATGAAAAATATTTCCACATTCTATTTGTGATTTTTGCCATCATAAGTTTGTATCACTGAGACTGTATTTTAGACTTACAGTGAAAGAGACTCTGTTTGAAATGTATGTTACATAATGTGTCCACATTTGTCACCAAATGACTTGATACTTAGTAAAATGGTCATAAAAATTTGCATTATATAGTATCTCATCAATACTCTGCATTGTTCCAGAAGATGCACCATTAGATATATTAAGATAGTGTACTTCCCTAGAAAAAAGGGAACAATAATGCCATAGACATCTAATTATTTACTAATAATGTTAGTGTTACCTAGAATCACCAACAGAAATTGAGACCCTGCTATACTAGATACTGATCTCAAAATTCCTGTACCATTAAATTAGGATGTGTCTGGTTGTTTTGTATGCATTTCTGAACAAAGGTGTCAAAGGCAAGTACAAAAGTTTGAATATTAACTGCTGTACTGAAGTGCTCTGAAACTACACTTAGGAAAGAAGATAGTCAATGCAGAAATGGAACTAACAGTGAAAAGGAAAAGTTTTCCATTTTAGATATCCTGTATGGATATAAACAAATCCAAAGGCTATTGGAAACAGGTATAAAACAAGCAAGGAGCATCAGTGCTGTAACAGAACAGGCTGATGAAACAAGCATTGTGTGCCTGGAAAAAAAAAAAAGAAGCAACTGTAGAAAATAACATAGAAAAATATAACAAATGGCTTTTGTTGTTACTATTAGTCTATACTTACAATTGTTATTTGCATATATAATTTAAATTAACACTTCCATACATTAATATTTTATTCCGAGCTGTCTGAAATTCAGAGGTAACATAGAGCCACACAGAACAGGGTAGGCAAGTATGCTTAAGGCATCTTTCCTAATTCTCTAATGCAAAGAACATTACAGTGCTCTGAATCAGAATTTTAAAACTACTGTATGTGCTCATTCCACAGTGTTTCTCAAGTGTTAAAAAGACCTCTTCAGAGCTGGTAGATCATGGCACAGAACAGCCTACCTGACTGCAGTCAAATATTTCCTAAGAGAATCAGCAGCTGACTGATAAATAATCTTAGCATAGGTTATAATAGTGTGTAGGGCTACTTATTTCAGTTAGTATATATGCCACAAGCAGCTATTTTAGCTACCAAAAGTGATTTATTTGAAAGAAGGGTTCTGAGAGGTTTTCAAGGTAGTATTTACAGTGTTATGAAAAGCATATTCAATGACATGCTGTAAATCTTGTAAATAAATTTCATTTGTTGTGACCAAAAATTTAAGAACTTAAAAGAGAAATCAGGCTTCTACTGTTGCAAACTGGTTTTGATAGCTTAGGATGAAATAAAAAGCAACTAAAAACAATGGCATGTGGTGAATTATGTTTAATTTATAGCCTGTTTACTTGTGAAGGATTTGAGGAAAATGCATTTATAGGGACCTGTATTGTCAAGGATTATGTGTGGTGGGGGAAAAAGTAATTAGAGCTAGAGAATAATAATGCAAAGACTTTGTAGCCTATCAGATGGAGCTCCTACATTGAGTTGTGAGCTAGTGCATGAGAAAGAAACTGCAGCATTTACTGTCACAGAGAAACAAACCCACTGTCTATCTTATAGAAGTGTTATTTTCATCCTGCCTCTTCTTTACTATGCCAGGTATTTTCTGGATATGTTGCAGAAATGTTTGTTACTTGCAGCAGGAATGCTACCCAAGACTTCCTCTTCAGGCCAGGCTTCAGTTTGTATTACCTTAAGCTAAGACTTCTTACTGAAGCAAACACATAAATCTCATTAACTCAGGATATATCTAAAGGAGATACTCTGCTGCTCATCTTACATAAATTGCCAAAATCCTTGTTATCTCCCATTTTTAATTTCTTATTTAGCTCTGGTTCAAGAAAGTACTTACAACATAATGTTGTCCATCCATATTATGAACAAACTTAAATATGATCTAGTTTGAACTGAAATGCAAGCTAGTAGACCAATACATACTTCGTTATCATCCTGAATACAGGTTTTTCTTAAAATTAGGGCATAATGCTACTAGATTTTTTTTTCTGTTTTACCTATCTAAACACCTTTATATTTTTATTTTAATAAACCACTATTTTAACAAAACAAATATATATTGATTAACTGCTATATATTTTTCTAGAATATTTATGAATTTTTCTATAAATAACTGAGCAAAAACTATGGACTGGTAAAAATTGCTAGTTAGTGCTACAGGTGTTTCTTGGCCTTTAAATTGTGTTCTTAAACATATATTCTAACTATTTTCCTGCTTGATGCAACTACAACTTTGCTTTACTAAGCCAGTTCACAAAATGTCCCAAACCTGCACTCCTTTTTTAATTTTTCACACAAAATTCAAGAGCACTGGGAACTTAAATTTATACACTGAATGACAGGTTGATCCTACATCTTTGTCACTGTAATTTAAACTAAAAGGGCAGACTTACAAAATATTGTGAAGTTTCATATTAAAAGATATATGAAAAAATATTTCAGAAGTATTTTAAAGGTGATTTAGGTTGTGACCTCAGTACATTATTCTGTGCAGAAATGCACTATCCTGCTTATTTTACATTTCAACTTTTGCTATAGTCAAGATACATTGTACTTAAGTATTGTAACACTTCTTGGTAACAAATGAGAATTGCTCCCTGCTCCTGCCAAACATAATTGGAAGAACTTGGTTAGTTATTCTCAGGTTTAGATTTTCGCTGTTGAAAAGTGTGAACATTTTTTAAATCCATTAGTTAGATTTTGATTTCTGAGATTGTAAGGCAAATAGTTTTATTTTTTGAGCTATTTCAATGACCAGAGAGAATCCAGAATATCACTGAAATACTTCAAATTTATCATGTTTATTCTGTAAGAGATGTGTGTTTGGTCCAAGTGTAATACTCCAGAAATCATAATATGAATATAAATATAAATTACATGCAATTCTGTGTTTTTAAACAATTTTTATGTTAGGCATAGTGTTCTTATTTATGTGTATGCATATTTATATATGTTGATACTTACCTATGCTTTAAAATCAGCGTGCTTGTGTTTATTTGCATTAATACACATTTAAACAAATGCATTTAATGCATCTATTTGAATGTGATACATTGTATACATGTGAGAACATTACTGTTTCAATGATACAAAGATGTTAAAGACTAAGCACATTATGGCTAAGATTTTCTTATTTGCAAAAATTACGAAATTACTAGTTATGGTCCCTGCAACATTTCAAATACTATTACAAAAGTATAAAAAGCAAAATACCAATATACACTGTAAAGAAATTATCAAAGAACCATCATGCTCATTATGGGGTTCATAATTTAAAATTTTCTACTATGACTGTATGTAAAATCTCAACCATAACAATAAATCGTTTCTTTGCATTTGATTTATAATTTTAGAGTGTATTCTGCATGTTGAAATGTGATTTAGAGAAGGAGGAATCATTCTGAAAAACAAACCAGTTAATTCATAGGATTTCATTCCTACATTGTGAGGTACAATACTTGTTCCTAAATACATTATGAGGATTAAACATACTTATATGTACATGCATTTTATCTCAGGGAGTCAACTACTTTATGTCCAAAGGCATACTAGATGATTCACCGAAAGAAATAGCTAAGTTTATCTTTTGCACAAGAACACTGAATTGGAAGAAGCTGAGAATCTATCTTGATGAAAGGTAATTCAAACTTCTCTTAAGACTTTTTCTATTAATTTTCAATGTACAGCCCCATTTAACAATACTTTGAATGTAGAGGTAGGCCACTTCAAGGATGTAAAAAGGCAAGAAAATACAGCTAGGTAATGTTTCTGCTAAATCTGAACAGTACTCAGTTTGAATATTTATGTGACTGTAACACTTAATAAGAATGCTCAAAAATACCAACTATAAATAATAAATACTACATCCTCACAAAATCTTACATAGATATTTTGCTGCTTTTTTTGACTTGATGGGTTTTTTTCCCTTATGGGTGTTATTCAGAAAAAGTAGTTTTCACTTTACTAGGGGATGATAGCTTTTTAACTAATGTTGAATCATCTAATTACTTGGTTGTCTGATTGGATTGGTTGATTGATTGGAGGTTGCACACACCTCAAGAGATGGAAGGGACCATCCTCTTGGAGACACCAGGAGCTCCAGAAGGGAGCACTCTCCCTGCTGTAGCATGCTGTTCTATATCCACAGTGCTTTCTCATGCCATCAGGCTGGGGTGGGGCAGTAGCATGAAGGAGGAGGAGAATAGTAACTGCACCTGAATAGGAAGAACAGAGGGCAAACAGCACTTCTAGCAGGAATCCTCTCCTGCTTCTCATCCTCTTCCGCCTGTACTACTAAAGGAATAAGAGGAGTCTGTAGTGTTATCACCGCTGTCAGTCCTGTGCTGTAAAACTTGAGATTTATCAATTTTTAGACAATAATAAAAATACAAAAACCATCTGACGGATGAGATTGCATTAGTGACTCCTACTGCCATTTATCTTCCATTCATAAACAGAGTATAATCAGGCACTAAAAATAAAAACTAATTTTTTAAATGTTGAAACTCACAAACAAGGTAAAAATCAGGTCAAAAAATATTCTTAGGTTCACTTCAAATTTGCCTCCAAATTTTTTTCAACTGTCTTTTGCACATCTGGCAATATAGATGTGGTCTGAACATTTCATTTGTGTATGTGTTCAGTGCAAAACACTTGAGAACAGCACACCCTGATGGCCTTCCATGAGCAAATTTTGCCTAGCTGAAGCCTGGCTTTGACAAGACACTCCTGCAACAGCTTCTACTTAGACATCAAAATGTGTGACATACTTGTATCTATTCTCTTTGCTGTCTTTTTTAATGGTTTTGTCAAATTTTGAAGGAAGCAAAGTCTCTATGTAGACCTTGATTGAATAGACATAAAAACTTTGAGTTCTGATTCATGTATGTTTTTATAGTATTTGGCTACAAATAGGCAAAAAACATGTGTTCATATTATCTTTGTGCTGTTAGTGATAATTTTGCCTTTTAGCAAAATCAAAAGCTCATGTTATTCTAAAGCTTTAATTTTTATTTTAAAATCTACACATTTTCATATTTAAACAGTTAAAAGAAACTTTTCTAATAATACGGGTTTTTGTTCTGCCAGGAGAGATGTTTTGGATGACCTTGTGACGCTGCACAACTTCAGAAATCAGTTCTTGCCAAATGCACTGAGAGAGTTCTTCAGACATATTCACGCTCCTGAGGAGCGTGGGGAGTACCTTGAAACTCTCATAACAAAGTTCTCTCACAGATTCTGTGCTTGTAATCCTGACTTGATGAGAGAGCTTGGCCTTAGCCCTGGTAAGCAAAAATGAGCAGTGGATCAGTCTTTATACTTCCGGATGATGCTACTCTTTCTGATAGTTTTAAAATCACCACCTAAACAAGTATTTCTGAAAGTACAAAATGGTTCAGTATAGACTCATCATTCCATTTGGGTTGAAAAAAAAACAAAAGAAAACCAAATGTACAGATTCTCTTTTTAGCTGATTTGTTGGGTTTATTTCCATGTTATCTTTCTTTTATTTTTGTCTGTAATTTGTGCTTTTTTCTTTTCTGAAGTTCCTCTTGCAGAATCTTACACACTTAATATTTTACCTTGTGAATAGTCTCACAGAAATGAAAGGGGGTAATGAGCCACATTCAAGTTAACAAGCATTTCTGATTGGTTGGGCAAGGCAGTTCTCAGCAGTTCAACTGCTTACATATTTAAAAGACAAGCTTTTGCAGGATGTTTGTTTTCATTTACACAAACTTCAAGAATCTGTTTAAATGAAAATGTTTAAAGCCCTGAGTGGCTTTTGGATTATGTAGAAATATTAAGAGATTTGTGAATTCTCATTTGTCAGTGTGCTTACATTATTACTTTTAAAGTTGCTATATTTAACTTTATTTCACTGGGATACCCTTCTGAATAGTTGTATGCATATGTGTGCATATATATGTATATATAGATAAAAAAAAATATGAGCCTAGATGATAAAGACCATAATGTTCTTAGGGAAAAATACTTTTAATGATTACAGTTTTTTTTAAAACTTTGTTTATTTGTTCTCTCTTGTCTAGATGCAGTTTATGTACTGTGTTACTCTTTGATTCTACTTTCGATTGATCTAACAAGCCCTCACGTGAAGAACAAAATGTCAAAGAGGGAATTCATCCGAAACACACGAAGAGCTGCACAGAATATTAGTGAAGATTTTGTAGGGCACCTTTATGACAACATCTACCTTATTGGCCACGTGGCTGCCTAAAAGCACAATTTGCTAGCACTTAAAATTTGTAATTTTCAAAAACTACATCAATTCAAGATATTAATTATTTTGTAGAGATGGGGGTTATTTTAGTGCTGGTCATTCTAACCTCTGTATGCAATCAAAGTTTGTGTGTGTAAGTGTGTGTATGTGTAAACTACCTTTTCTATCTATTTACTGTGGGAACAGGAGGATTTTTTTTTCATGATTTTTTTTTAGCTCTGCACAAAACAATGCCATTAGTCTGACACAGCCATTTATGAATGTTAAACTGACATTACAGTCTAAGCTGAAAAGTGGTGAATTTGTGCATTAGATCTGCTTGAAACTTTAATGAGCTCATTCTTTTTAGAATACCATGTAATGTGTATATATTTAACTAAAGAGATTTATAATCATAATTATTTTATTGTAAAGTATTTTAACTAAAATTTCTCCTTTTATCTCTTAAATTAGTGTTTGACTTTCGTTTGCATTTTTTTTACAATGCTGACTACCTCAGATACTTAAGTTAGAGGAACATTGGTCTGAACAATAAAGTTTATTCTAGGAGATAATAGAACACTTGTAAAATATCTAAGCTGGTATTTTATACTATATTTATTAACTTGAATCAGCATGTTGCCAATCTGCTATTCACTCAATTTTAAGGATTACAGGCTCTGTTTTAGTTGAATCCTGATGCCATACAGGGGTAGCCAGGGCAAATCATGCAGTGTACAGAGAGGTTTATGTTATTTACATGCATAACTTCTTTTGCAGATACCAGTTTTTGGGAAACAGGGCAACTACAATCACCTATTCAGCGCAGTAAGCAAGAAAAAATCTGAACAGGGAAAGTGGTAGGAGTGAGTAATGTGTTGCTGCTTTCAACTGGTTTTCTCGGTCGAGAAGTGTCAGTGATGGAAATGCCTTGGCAAATTTATACCAGATGACTTGTTGCTAAAGCTGTTAAAAACTGACAGTGCAAGATTTGAGCAGTGACTGTGCAGGATTGGAGAGCTGCTCTTCAGAGTCAGATACTGAATTACTTTCTAAATCTATCATGTAGCTAGATTTTAAACAGCTCTAAATTTATGGAAATACTTGAGAAATTAGTTAGGTTGCGTCTTGACATTTTCTGAAGTGTGGAGGTTAGCAATAGAACTGCTGTTCCATGTGCAGGAATTGAATGAGGATTTGCCTAGTTTTTGTTCAGACAACTCACGGAGCAGTGCTTCTCTTAAGTTGACATAAATGTTGTTGAAGAGCTGTTCCTGATTACGTATGTTTACATAATATTCAGCTGTCAGTAGCACCTGGATACATCATGGTAACAAGTGTATTCTTTTTCCCTACCATACCATGAGGTGAGGTGGGAAGGTATTCTTAATCTGTAAAACAGAACTAATTTAAGTTTTTATGTAGAAAGCCTATTGCAGACAAGAATTTAATTCAGGAACGACCCCTCATAGCCATGCACTTTGCCTGTGCTGCTGCTTTCTGTTTGGCACCTAGGGAGTGTTATGTTTATTTTAGATGTGAGAAGGACAGTCCATACAAGGGCTACATAAATGATGGGTAGAAAAAGATGTAGCTATTACTGCTATTTCAAGTGTTTATAGCTCTGCTCCACAAACTGAAATTCATGCAGAAGTACATTTTTATTATGTTACCTTTAATCAAGTGTAAATGCATTGCATTTATGTAGCATACACAGCCAAAGCCAGGAGCCAGCAGTATTGTGGCCATGTTCCAGACAGGTTTACAGTATCACTTGCCTTGCTCAGGATAACTACTCCTCACCCAGTGTTGTTTCATGTATTGCAGAAAGTCCAAGGATGCATTCTGCAGTGGTCAATTAATCTCAAACACAAATTAAGAGTATATGGTACAGTGGCAAGCTTTGTTCAAGGCATAGGTATCTGCTCCTGTATTACAGAAAAAAAAAAAATGAAAACTTTAAATGTAATTTGTAAAATCAACTATAAAGCACAAGTGTCTCTGGACTCTTTTAAGTGATCTGGACACAGCAAAATTTAGTCTTCTAAGAAACGCTCCTCAAAGGTTACACACTTTAAAAGAAGAATTCAGTGAATTTTGAAATTAGAACTTTTCTTGTTAGAAAATATTTTGTCCTCAAACCACAAACACAGAGCAAGGCATAATTCTCTTCTGACTTATTCGTAGGTTAACATTAGTGATAGTTATGATTTTGCACTAATAAGAAAGAGAGTATGAATTTTTAGTCTGCATTTCTCTTAATTTCCAGTTACCTGATACAGAACAAAGCCTTCAGGCAGATAGAAAATGTTTTTTTTCTGGAATAGATGAGTACATCTATTAGCAAGGTTTAGAAAACTCCAAGGCCAGTGTCGCAGCCAAGAGGATAAATTAGAAACAGGATGATACAATTCAAGATTCCATAAGACAAGTCCAGGGGAAAACAAAACCTTAATGACATGCAGATAACAGCATCCAATCTTCACAACAGGATTTTGAACAGTGTTAGAGGATTAGCACCCAACTCATGTTGTACATTATGTTACTAACACAGAGTGGAACTGAAAACAGCAATCACAACATGCCACGTGTGAATTCCCTCAGAGGCAACCACAAAACAACTAATGAATACAGACATTTCTTCTGTCTTTTTTCCAGTTTGGGTCTAGCTCTAAAGTGGCTGAGAAGTGATTTTTTGCATTTTAGCAATATAGACTTTACATGAAGGTAAACAATTTTCTGTCTTAAAAGGAAAAAAAAAGTCTTAATCAGGTGTAATAGTACTCTTAAAAAAAATGACAAAAATTATATTGGTTGTCCTCAAAAAACTTTAAAAAACAAAGTTTAGGGCAGTGTTTTCTTCAATGTACTCAGTGTCTCCACGCACATTTTAAAATAATGATACTTCATTGATCCAGGTGTCACTAAGTGATGTGGAAAAAGCTACTTAATCAAGCACTTCAGAAGACTTAGGCTCAGAATCTCAAGCCAAATTACATGAGCATGATCATGTTTATAGCTGCAAAGTGATTCCCAAGCTATTGTGATTCCACTGCTGCATGCCCTTTGAACTTTGGCCATGTGGTGTTGCCTTAACTCTTAACTGTATGCACTGTACACAGCACTGGAGGAAGAGGTGAGCCTGCAGCCCATCCCCTGCAAACATTCACTGTTCTGTCCTGAAAGACACTGGAATTGTTCTGAATGGCCATTTCTGAAAGTTTGGTAACTTCAGTGTACACAGATGTGGCAGAAGGAAAATTTTTCTGTTCATGTTGGGAAAATGAGTGTACCTGTGTCCATGTAAAGTGTCACTCAAATGCAGCTCATGTTTGCTTTTATTAAAGTCTGAGGCTCTGTTTGCATTTATTGAAGGAATATGGCATATATTAGATATTCACATGGCTTAGCTATAGACAGCATCTGATGTTATGTTTTCTCAAACTCTGTTTCTGTCTAAAATACTTTCCATTCAAACTCTAAACAACACATTTATACAGCTTTGACTTTTAAAATAAATCAAAGCTGCTGAAACATACAGAAGCCCAAACAAATATAAATTTGAGATGTGTTTTTTGATTTTGATGCAAAGCGCATGAGAAATTTGCATTTAGGAAGAAAAATTAAATTTGTTCTCTTTAACCTTTCCCTTCCACCCCCTACACTGGGAAAAGCAAAAATGTAAACAGTTTCAAAATACACCTTTAAGAAAATAAACTGACTAGCTGGACAAATAAATGTTAGTATTTTTTCTTCAGTATTCTGCAGTTTATTAATGTTCTTAACAAAAATAAATTTATCAACAGGAATTGCTTTTTTTTGAAGTGGTAATATTTTTGTTCTCTGTTTAAGGAAGTCATTGTGCAATCTGATATTGTTAATAGCTCTGTTTTTAGAAGACAAGTCTTATTTTAAGCACTTAAAATTGAGGTATACCTATTTGATCACATTAAAATGTCAAAATTATAATAAGTATTCGGGAAAGTCAGATTTACTTGCCCTCTATTGAATTAAGACTTTTTTTTCTTTTCAGTTATTTCATGGATGTATTAAAACTAATAAACATTAAGGCTGTTGACTTGTTCTCTGCCATTGTAAAATCTCCCACTCTAAGCTCAAAAGCACTATTAAAATGGGCAAAGAACAGGTATAAACTATTTCCTGTGTCTCACATCGGCACATTATGATTTCATTTTGCCTTAAAGAGAAATACAGACTTTTATAATCCGCATGTAATAGTGATTTTAGTAAGATAAAATTTTATGTGATAATCTAATATTACTTATGAGATGTTTAAAGTTTAGACTTGCCATGTGTAATTAAATCATAATCAATTAGCTAGGAGTAGTTATGGAAGTGTGTCTGGAAAATACCTAAGAGATCACATTGTTCCTTTGTCACCTCAGTGTTTTTGCTTATATTAATGTTAGTAAATTTGCCGTTTTCCTTTCTTATTCATGTAAATATGCGTAGAAAAAATATTTAAACAAAATACTTCCATTTCCTATGTGAAATTTACTTGCATTAAAAACAAACTTTCTGTACTTAAAATATTAGAAAAGCAAAAAACTTCACTGACAGAAAGAAGAGGCTCCTGATTTTCAGTTGTGTGGTTCACTGGTAGACCCTAATAAAGAAAACAAGCAAAAAGCACTTTTCAGATTCCTAGAAATAAAAAAAAAATGCATTTTTTTATGCTTAAAAATAGTGTATGTGTACCTAACAGAAATCAAGCATGTTTTTGTGAAAGCAGTACAGTCAGGATACCAGTTATTTTCAGAGAGAGTATTCATTTGTAAAAGTTAGCTTTCTTCTTGGCAGTGTTGGAGTGGAATGTTGGATTTAATTTAAAATGATTAATGAGATTTTGTCAGACTCCCTGCCTTTACCACCACTGCAGTTTGTCAGCACAACAACCTGGGAAACCCGGACGCCACTCTGTCGCCCAAAACTGCTTTCCAGGAAAAAATAAACCCGAGTAACTAGTGCCAGGTATGTGTCAATGGTATTGTCTTTCAGCTGTTGAAAGTTTAAGCTGAGACATTTACACATTCTGAGGAAGTGAACCTCATTTGTTATTTGAATAGTCTGTTTTTGACAGCAGATACCCATGTAAACTTAAATTTTTAGAGCAAGCATAGCCATTTTTTTAAACTTTATGGAAAAATCCTGTAATCTATGCAGAAGAGAAATACTTTAAAAGGAAAAATATATGTATCAATGCTTATTTAGCTAAGTTTTTCTGGAGAAAGACCATCTATTCAATCTGCATACTATATGCTGTTAGGAGGAACTCATCCTTTGAGCATTATGCATGCCATTAGCTTGCTGAGGGGCAAGGAATGTTCTGTTGGACTTGAGGCAGATGCATTAATGTGTATGCCAAGAGTCAAAATCTGACAAGTTTGCAATACTTCTCATAAGTGACCATAACATAAGCAAATGAGTAATTCTTCTGAAATGGAAGGTTGATATTGAAAATTATTTACAATTTGTCTTCTTTGCTTTCCTTGTGGAAGTTTGTTCTGTCTACAGTTCGAGCATTGTGTTTTCTTACACATGAAATACTGAGAAAGATTATTTCAATTTCAAAAGCAGCCTTCCCCTTCTGAGAAAGCATGCCTGCCTGTGCTGTGCGAGTCCTCCTGCAGTCACACAATGCTGTATCAAAAAACTCACCTTGCATTCATTCCTATGCACCCCTTTATACACCAGTTCTATCCATTAACTCAGCAAGCAAAAAGTCCTGCTGGCTTCACAGAGGTGTAGGTGTTGAAAGAGTTTGTACTGTTCTGCTGCACCAGGCAGAACGTACTCCTTCATGGGGCAAGATGGCACATGTATTCTTTTCATTGCTTATATCTTAGCTATTTTTTATGTGTTAAAAAAATTATTTTCACAACTGCAGTTTCCCTGTCTTCAGAATTCATGCTAATTGTCATAATTATATGTAACACAACTGAACTGAAATATATTTTTATAGCCGGAGAACTTCTTGAGTTTACTTGCCTTCTGCAGCATTAATCACCTGCATGACAAAACAAATGAGGAAATCACAGAACTTCTTTCCAAGTGCTAAAGAAGTACTTCTCTCAGCGTACTTCTTAAAAAAAATCAAGATGCTGTATTTTTTCACATTAAATGTAACTTCTTGTTTCTATATTCCACTTAGGAATTTATATCAATAAAAGTATTTATTACTGTTCCACACTGTCTGAAGTCTGACAGTCCCATTTCTGATTTGTACAAGCAAAAGCTGACTTCTCTGGATTCTTTTTCCCATGGAATAGCAGAATGAAATAAATACTCAACATTCATCTATCACTGCAGAAATACAATAAGAAATGCTTGAATCTTTTTTCTCTATAAATGTGGTTTAAATATATAATAAAACACAGAAGCCACATGCTTAGTAATCAGCTTTCTTAAATTCTTTTTCAACTTTTTAAAAGTAAAACAATTCTCTTTCTTGCTATTGAATATTCACAATGTATGTAGTGCTGCATAACATTTACTGAAAATCACAGCACTTAAAGGGCTAATTTGAAGATCTAAATGGAACATAGATATTATTCTGGTTTCCTATGCAAGATAGATTTTATTTAAAATCATAAAGACTCTGAAATGTATTGAAAATTCTTTTAAATTAGAGATATTTTATAATACTAAGTTAAATTGACAATCATAAATCAGGATTTATAGCCTGAGTCTAAAGACTCAAATCAGTAAAACAGAAAAAAGCAAAGGAAGAATAAAACTTCATTGAAGCTAAAATTTTGTTGCTTTTAAGCAGATCAAGACAGAAGTTTTGAAGAGGTGAGATTGGTGGTCTCTAAGATGATGCCTGGTCCCAGAATATTGATACCTCATCCTCCCTCTTTCCTGCAATAACATAACAGCTTTTCTGCCCTGCCCAACACATCTGCTCCTCTCCACAGCTGTCCACAGAGA